ACTGCTGCACCTAGTACCTCAGTCATGGACAATTAGTATGAAGTTAGAGAATTCTAACTAAAACTAAACTAAACAACCCAACACAGCAATTCTTCTTCTCCTCATCAATAAATGGAGTAATCAAAGAGATCCGACTCACGTTGGCAGCCTATGAGAGGGTTTCCGTATGTATTCTCTGGGCACTCAGTACACGTTCGGCCCCCAAAGCTTGGTCTGCAATGACACTGACCGGTCACCTGAAAAGAAGGAAACAGAATTCATTTTAGTGTAATTACCAGTAAGGACAAACACAAGCTGGATGGCTACAAAGTTTTTGTTACTAATTACTGATATGGGATTACTAAAATGTTTCATGTACCTGAACCATTTAATAGAATTTACAGAGCACTGAAATTTTATCGAGCCTTTTATTTGCCATTTTGTTGATGGAACACACCCACATTGCGGGAAATGCCATCCCTCCCAGAGCTATAGAGGTCATACCTGGTCACAAGTATCACTGTATGACCTGGTGGGGTCACAGCCGCAGGGTTCGCAGCGTCCTGACAGGAATGGGTTCCAGTAGCCTTTTGAACACGCTTCACAGGTCTGGCCATGGAAGTGGGGACGACAGGGACACTGGCCGGTCACTGGGTCACAGATATCTGACAGTGACCCTTCTGGAGAACAGGAACATCCTGGACAGCAGGGGTAACATCAGTGTTTGATCAAGCTATGCGTTACCATAGTATTAGTGGAAGTAACAGTGCTAGTATAAAGAGAGTTTCAGTATGAAGCCACAAAAAAGATGATGTAAACATGTAATAGCTTGTTCATCAAATCCAAAGATCATGAAATGCGGTTAAGTTTGATTTATAGATTTAATGTAACAAATATTAGCATCAGCATTTATTTGCAAAAACACATACTGGTCAACTTTAATATAAACATTTGCACACACCTAAATACTTTTGGGATTAGGTGTAATTTTGTATTTAACATTCATTCCCTGCGACCAAGCTAAGCTGAAAACCGCCAGAGCTGAAAAAAGAAGACTGTGGTGTTAGAAAGAATGATGTGAAGGAGTTGGTTGACTCACTGGAGCAGCCCAGAGGGTTGGAGGCGCTCAGGCCATAGTAGCCTCTCTTACAGCGGTCACAGCGGGGACCTTCAACGTTCACTTTACACTGACACGAGCCTGTGCTGTCGTCACAGCGGCCCCCATTCACTGTCCCCTCAGAACTGCAGATACAGCCTAGCGGCAACACAAACTTGGTTATTTCTACGTGAAAATGTCGCTTTTTGAAGTTGAACTTCTTATCCTGCATGTCACAGTTCCTTTCATTTCACCAATGAACCACTTACGCGTGCAGGCATCAGGACGGTCCATGCGGCTGCGGGGGTTTGGCTGGTAACCTGGGGCACACTGATCACACTTGGGTCCTGTGGTGTGGTGCATGCAACCCTCACACACACCTCCACTCCTCCGCCCACTGGCCTCGTACAACGCCTGGTCAAAGTGACAGCGTTGGGCGTGGTTGTTGCACTCACAGCCTGAGGAGACAGCAAAGGGGTTAGTGCACAGTATACACCGTGTGGGTTACTCATTTAAAAAAGGGCATTTCACCTATCCCAAGGACACTTTACAGACAAAAAACAACAAAAGAAAAACTATGATATATAGGTCGGCCAGCACCGTGGGTCAATTTAACCTTTACTATAGTTGAGCTCTGACATGATTGAGGCATTAAGATTTCTGACATTTCTTTGTATATTTTACTCCTTTATTCCATTTGATGTGTGCACAGGTATCTTATAAAAAAGAAAGCATGGGCGGACCATCTAAGGTAGACCATTTATGTTACTTATTTTGAGAAGAGGGCAGGTAACATAAGACAATAATACAACAAAACAAACTAAAAACCATCTCTCTTAATAGCCACTAGTTTTTTTTCCAGAAGAAGTTCAGTTTCAGCTTTACTACCACTTTTTGTAATGTGGGTATTTATTGGTGGCAAATTTTAGAGGCATTATTGCATTCATTAGATATTGTGGCTCACAGAGGAGTATATTCTGGTATGTATTTTGTCTAAGTCTTTCACACTCAGCTTGGTGTTGCCTTCAGAAATCTGGGTTACACTAGAGGTCAACTTTATTTACTGAATCTTACGTTTGCAGGTGTGAGTGTTGCCTTCCTCTGCAGGTCTCCAGGGCAGATCATTATAGAGATCAGCGCAACGCTCACAGTTCACCCCTGCTGTGTTATGCTGGCAGTCACACTGAGGATTTACCTGAGGATTCACCTGCAAAGAGACACAGAAAAATCAGGCCCATGAAGGGATGTTTAATTAGATTAAAGACTAAGAAATGACTAGTCCAAAACGTTTTGGATTCCGTGGAGTAGGTGGCTTCAGCTGGCAGCAGCGAACCACCATTATGGAGACATCTGGTTAAAAACAGAGTATTATCGGGAGTCACTTGTGGATGTAATTTTGACAGGTGCAAAGAAATATGTTGCAGCTACTGCACGGATCCCAAATCTTTTGGTACCTACTAGTCATTTCAATAATAAAATGTGTGAAAATAGGGCTCAGGTTTAAAAATATAGAAATGATCCTTTAAAGATCAGAGGAAGGTCAAGAAACAAAACTGTTGCCACCAGTTTATTATCTCTCTCATGTTACCTTGGTGAAGGTTCTCTGCTGAATTTACAGTATCTTTTGAGCCAAATTTGAACATGCATAAGGATCAATGTCAGGGGCGTGTTTTTGGGGCCTTAAGCAGAAAAAGGGCCTCCTGGTCGCAGTGGAGGCTGAATAAAATGCTTTTTTAATTTATGCTTCAGGCAGGCTCTGACCAGTATATCGCATTCAGCACAATGTTGTTCAACAGACTGTCTGGTAAGTGTCAGTCTCATATCTGAGCGTCCAGTACAGAGACACTGTAGGTCCAGGATATGTTGAGCCTGGTTTAGGAAAAAACTGGAAGCAATAGGAAAAAAATAAATCAAAAGTGCATACATACCTCTATGGTGTTGGACAGTGGGTTGTTGTAGACTTCTGGCAGGCATCGGTTGGCATGTCCATGGCACATACAGCTGCCCATTACTCTCATTTCTTTTAGGGCGAAAAACCTACTGAGAGCTCTGCCTGGTACATGTGGCACATCGCCGAGCTCAGTCAGCCTCACCCTCAGTCCCGTTAACCCAGACACTTCTGTGGATGAGACAGCCGTCAGTCAGCAGGCTGCAAACTTAAACCAGGTCTATACTGCATCTGTCATGATTTGGGAAGTTATTCACAGAGACGCACCTTCAATTTTTTGGC